ACCCTCAGCCTCTGAGACTCAAGCATCTTTGTGTACTGCACCAATGGGGTAGAACCTTGACAAACTCGTTACACGGAGAGAGAAGAAATGGTGGGATTCCCTCAACATTCTTCCACCCACCTGCAGGGCAAGTACAACAGCATGGCTGTATTTCTGAAGAAAGTACTTGCTCACTAGAAACCACAGTGAAATCAAATCAGGCATCATCTAGCCATATTATGTTGTGAACAACTGAAAATAGGTGATGTCTGTTCAAGGACTCTCAGAAAAAAGCATGGTTTCTAACTTGAATTGCAAGGATAAAATGGAAGATGACAAGAGGGTGAGAAGCAGTTGGGGACCAAGTGCCAGCAGAGCTACAAATATTCACAACCTACGGTTTGAAAAAAGAAAAAACAAAATTAAGAAAAACCAGCCCACTATTCACCTGACACACTATTATGCTTTCCCCTCTGTCTTCTCATACAGATCATGTTTTGTAACACTGAATATTCTTGTTTGCTTCTATCTCCACAGTGCTTAAACATCCCGTTTCAGCACTGTTCCTGTAGGTACAGTACAAAGGAGAAACAAACTTCATGCAAATCAAGTACGCTACTATAACCTTACTTCAGTATCTTCGCACAGACTGGGTTTTTCAAAATTTAAAAAAAAAAATAAGCATTTGGAGCTATTTCAGCATAGCTAGTTTCTACTCCTGCATCTTCTGTGCAAGTTCTTTTATTTCCTAGGATGGGAGATCAAGCTTAAATGGGGTAGTGGTGGGGTGTGCTGTGTCCCTTTTTTTCCAATAAAAGGCATTTAGAGAAGTCCAAAATGTGGGTAATACTACAACACCAACTGTCTTGGCATCAGATGGTTAAAATTAGAAAGAATCCGTTGAAGCTCTAGGTTTCCTTCAACACCTCTGAAGCCTTTGAGTCAAAGCAAACCAACCTGAGAGGTTAGACTTGAAAAAGTAAAAAAGGAAGAAGAAAAAAAAAAAAAAAGAGCTGCTTCAGTGGATAGCAATCAGCAGCAATTTTCTTCTACTTCAACACAAGCTAGGTGGATTCAGTGCTTTAAATAAAAGTGTCTATGTTTGGATGTAGCCAAAAGACTCACATTGGTTTAACTTGAGCTTTTGAAGTGGATACTGTGCTGGATCAAAGGACCAAAAGAGCAACGTAGGAACGCACAGTAGCAGAAGCCACTGCTTTGACAAAATTTTTGCAGGAAATCGTGCTAAACCCCCGAGTTCAGTACTAGGTTCTCAGGTTCTTCAGTGCACTGGATCTACCTATTCACCATTAGGGCAAACCACATCAGAAAACTGAGGCAGAAAAAAAAGTCAGAAAGAATGAAAGAAGATGTGTAGAATGTGTGCAGGATCCAGCCCCATCTCTCAGAGAATAAAGGCTTCCAAGAAGCCTTGCTGGTAGAGCGGAGTGCTTCAACATCCAGAAATAAAATTGAACATGGAGGAGGCATGTTGGAGAGTGCTACTGCAGAAGTCCATAACCAGGGGAGACTTCTAGCTAAACAGAGACTAGAGATCCATAAAGAGTGTTCACTCTGTGCACCCAACCAAGATTTGTGGAACTTGCAAAGGAAGAAGAAAGGTATAAGCCAGCTGTAAGCAAAGGCAACACCATCCCGCTTGCAAACTAATGATGGATAGATGGAAGGGGTGAAGACCAACTCCTCTTCAGATAACCAAAGACATACTGAAGGAAATTTTTTTAGTTTCTCTATACCTAAGACTTCCCTACTACTATGAGAGATAGGGCCGGCAAGACTTAAGGAAGAATGAAACAGAAAAATAATTTCTTATCTCTAGCATTAGAGGGATGACCCACAACTGGTAGGCATTTCCCCACATTGTGCTCAGATCTGTGCTCTGGCCCACAAACACTGAAAATGCTCAGTTAATATTAGTATAGAAGCACCAAGTTTAAAAAAAAATAGATTATACACTTACGAAGACTAAAGACACTTAACAGACAAATCCTTTCAAACCATAGATGCTGGCTGCATTTTCCTATTGGATTTGCAGCATATTCAACAGATCTGCTGGAGTCTCAAACTCAATCCCCAGTTCAATTTTTTGCCCCTTGTCTACCAAAAAAAAAAAAAGTTAAAAAGGCTAAAGTTATAGTCATGTAGCTGTAAGCACATTAACAAAGTGCAAGATAGCAATCTTATTGTGATGCTTGCACAGAGCCCACTCTGAACACATGCTGGGGAGTTTTATGACCAAGACTGGCTGCTCATTACAACACTGTAGAGTTGAAAGTGGGACCTTCCTAAGACCCTGACTTTGGAGTCCTAGCTATACTTGGCTCCTGAGGGACAAGTGTTGAAGTCCAAACCAGGAATTCTTAAACACATTGCTGATTCCTTGGCCACCAAGAGAATATATTACCATTACCAAGGACCTGAAACTAACACTGGTCCTGTGAAACCTCCTGCAGGTAACACACACCTTCTAGATTTCCCCCAAAGCTAAGGGCTCTGCTTCACTACTCCCATTGTAACAAGAGACAGAAAATACCTTCTGAAGAGGGATTTTAAGCATACATACTTTATTCACCAAAACCATTAAAAAGATCCCTGTTATGTCTTCTCCAACATTTTTCCATTCAGCCCTTTACTCTCAAGATCATTTCTTCCTGTCCAGTTTTACCTTCTCATTGAAGGAGATCTATTAAAGCAGACCTTCGTCCTTCCTGTGTCACACCATCTTCCAGCCAGGACCTTGAGGTTGGCTACCACACTTTTAAGTCCTGGCCTGCAAGACAGCTTTCTTGCAACTCAGTCATTTATTTCAAAAGAAAAGTTGCTGCAGCAGCTGGATGAGGTCATGCAGGATCTTGACACCCTTTCACATCCTTACCCTTCAACACCAAACTGTAACTTGGCCAAGGTGAGTCTGTTTTTTTTCTCCAAGTTATTCTTGTTAGTCTTACACCTAACCAGCTGCATGTTTGTCATCCTTAATATTACATAGAGGTATGGCAAAAAAAAGTGAAGTCTCATGGATTACACAAAATTTTGATGAGTACAATGTCAACCAAAATGAAGTCAGAATGAGAGCCAGCAGTTCTGCTCCCCTCACAGCACTAACTGCCAGAAAAATAAAAATATTCCTGATTGTCAAAGCACTGTACTGTTGTAGGAGTAATGGATAAATGGTATTGTCATTCTGCACACTTAAAGCCAGAAAATCCACAACTGGTATGAAATTAATTGTGTTCCATTCCCAGCTTTCAAGGCCTGGTTGTGAGGAAATTAATACTTCATAATTAACTGCTTGCAGAGCATGTTCTGGGGTCTGCATAGGGATGGTGCTGAGAAAAAAAACAAATCTGGGGTCAGGGCAGACTGCTTTATTCCAAGAATACAGTGTGTCATGTACTGAACACACAGCCTCCAGCCATTAGACTTTGCATTTGAGGTGAGAATTGAAGCGGAGAAGCTCTCTGGCTCAGGTGAACCACATACGTGTGGTTTGAAAGCCCAAACATATGTCAAACACACAGCAGAGATGTAGGTACCCAAGGGAGCGGTGCTCCTTTTCACTCTCTTCAGTTGACAGCAATATTCCTCAGCAGCTGAGAAGAAATAAATTTTTGCATCAGCCATCTCAGAGAAGGGTGGCACCTCTGGGGTCCACACAGCCCATTACAACCACTTTGTTTCGCTTTACTTTGCGCACAGAAAACAAATGAGACATTGACGAGAACTCCTTGTTCATAGAGACTTTACAACCTTATTTCTCCCTTAATATTGCACTTGCTCATAACTCTACCTCATCCTCTTTTTCCTTCCCAAACACACCCAGGAAGGATTTAATCTTTAAAGAACCATTTTAATCATATCAGACAAGAATCAAAGGAAGAAAACCCAGATCATGAAAATACTTGATTCTTAAACTTTTGTTGTTTAAATCTCACCAAGGAGTTTTCATGATTGACACCAAACCCATAAGAATCAACAAGAAGATTGTCTGTTGCAGAAAATCACGTTTACTGACCGAGATTGCACATCTTTGCAAATATCGGGCACTTACAAAGATCATCAGTTTACTGAAACAAAACAGGAGATGTGACTTAAAGTCTAAAAGAGAATTAAAATTCTTTAACTTAAAGCCTTCCACTTCCAAGCTGCTGGCCTCTAAAAAAAACCAAATACTCCAGCCCCATTAGAGAAAAGAAAAGAAAAAAAGGATCCATTAAAAGGAAAAATGGAAAAACATTCCACAGGCAAGTTAATCAGAGACTATGGTCCAACCAAACCAGCCTAGATTTTATGTATGTCCTTGTACTTATCCATTTACTTAAAGTCTTCAGAAATAGCAGAAGGGAAGCAGTAAATTGGCTTTCCAAGAGGGGACTACAGGGTCCCTCCACATCATTGCTGTTTGAACCAGCTAGCATTTGAGTGCTGTCTTCCACACTTCTTCTCACTAGTCCTGTCAGAAACCAAGTGAAATTTTTCCAAGATCACTTACACAGAGGTGAAAAAAATGAGGTTTGCTCAATGTTGGCAGTGAGCCCCTTCAGACTATCAATACTAAGCAGATGATAAAACCACCTGAAAGCGTCTAGTCTATTGGCAGCTCTGAGCTACCGGTCCACATGAGTTAACAGCAAGCTAGCAGGACTGTGCACCTCTTTAGCAGGCTCCTCTCCAGTTGCAAAACATGGTAAAAAAAGCATGAGGGTTCCTGTAATGTAAGCAGCCTACAAGGAGTACATTTTTACTAGACATACAAATGGTATCTTCCAGTTGTTCAATTTCACAGTCCAAGGCAAATTATAAAGCTACAGCTTTTATTTTTAAGAGAACTTCAGTATTTAACTGTCAGATTTTTAAAAAAAAAAAAAAGTCTTTGAAGAATCTAAAAAGTTGCCCCAGCCAAGCAACTTACTGATTAACACGGAGTCTTTAAAAAAGGGGAGTATGGTTTGAGGGAAAGGGGAATAAAGTGGGGGGAAGATAAGGAAATACTCCAATTATTATAGATGGTTCAACCATATGTCTCTAACAAAGAGTTGGGGGGCATCATTTTCATACTGCATGGTTGCATTGATAGTAGGCTTATCCACAAATTCTATCTCGCACGCCTGGGTGCTGCAAGGAGAATGCTCCAGTTCCAACACTGTTATGTTGTTTGGCACTGACGAAACAAGTATATTCCTTGGAACAAAAAGCGTTAGCTGAGGACCACGGGCCGGCCAGTAGCGCCCAAGATTAAAGCCATTGATCCAAATTTGCCCCTGTTAAGAGAGAAAGAAAAAAAACCAACACCATTTTAATAATTTGACAGAGACCAAAGGACAAAATAGCTTTAAGCATAACACTCTTCAGATAGTAACTGAATTTCCTCCACCCTTCAGTTTGATAGAACACAAGGATAGAAAATCTGTTCAAGAAAATTCTAATGACAGTCAAAAGAATCTAAATTCCCTGATGAGTTAAGGGCATCATTAATATTTAAAAAAACTCTTTTAAATATTTTTTCCAAAAGTCTATAACACGGTGAGTTGCAAAATGTTCAGTAAAACTACAAATGGGCTCCTACTGAGTTGAGCTGAATCTTGGTTCATTAAACAAGAAAGAAGGGAGGATATACAGTTGATTTGGACAAATAATTTGCTTTCACTCCTAAGTGTCTTTTCACCATATGTCAGACAAGAGTCCAGTGGACAAGAAAAGGGATGGGAACAGGTAACTGCTTCTGTGTTTTCCCTCTTGCTTTGGCCTCTGGTAATCAGAATATCAAGGAAAACAAAACTAACTCATGGCATTGACGTACACTGATAAAATAGTGTAATCAAATAGTCTGATTCAGTGGAAAGTAAGGACTTTTACTACACTCTTGGTGAATTCTAAAATTGTCTGGGATAGCTGAAATCAGAATAACACTTTTAAAGGATTTACAGAAGCACAATTTTAATTGAGTATTGCGGTTCAAGCTGTTTTGGAGGTATTTTTCCCATGTTTTCTTTTTCAAGTATTAAAAGAAATTTTGTGAAACTTGCAAGAGAAATTTTATAAGTAGTTGGTACATCTGCAAATACAGGTGAATTATTTCAGCTCTGTATCCGCTTCCGTGGTATAAGATGATATCTTGCAGAGTTCTGCCAAGGTGTTAATAAATTTTGACCTCAAACTTTTTTTTTTCTAAACCATATTAATCTTGCTTTGTGGCTTGGTTTTGCTGTATTGAAAGGCAAAAGAGCTATTTATTCCAGCTCACTACTCTGCTTCTGTTGTAGTTTCAGAAGAAAACACAGCATTAATGCAAACTCCCCCCACACAGGATGAATTATTGAGCATACCCACCAGACAGCAACCTACTTACTACAGAAAGTGACTGTAACGCTGGGAGAAGTAGGAGTTTACTGTAGGAATCAACTGCATTAGAGTTCTAACACAGGAGGTATAATCAGACAGGTCTCGGTTTCTGATCTTTATCAGTTACTGGAAAAATAACTACAACGAGTGAAGCTATGAACTCAATTTCTCAATTCCAAATTATCCTTATTAACATTGCAGTGTTTAAGGACTACACACTCACGAATTTCTATGCCCTGAACGAGCAAATCATTACACTACACACCAATAAATATACCCTAGACAAAATAAAGGAGGGTGGATCTCTGTCTTCAGTAACAAGACTTTCTTTAGCAGGGTCAGCAACTACAACCCACATTTCCACAGAAAATCAAGAACAGTCCTGACTCCAAATCCTCTTTTCCATTAAAGGAAAAAAGTCCAATAAATCTAACCATACATTCTGGGACATGTATGCTTAAGGGCATTGTGGATCCTCAAGCAAGGGTGGAGGAAGTTTTTACACAGTGCCACTCAAGGAATTAAGCTCCAGATTCCTGAATGGAATTTCAACCCTTTAAACCCTCTGCCTTAAAGGCATTTGCTCATTGGTAAAGTTATATGGAAGTCTCAGTTTCCACACCCAGTATCACCTCAATCTTGTTATTGATGGGGATCTTATTTAAAACTTTGGTCAATCCATATAAAGCTTGAAGGATTAATTCCATAGCCCTTACTTACAGTTCATCTGGGATCTCTTCAAGGTGACTGCTTTAGAAAGTACACAAACTATGTAAAACAAAGGTTTCTATGTTAGTAGATCAGAGGAAAAGATTCCCACCAGTACATGAGAATTCTTGGACTCATTTGCCATTTCAAAGATGAGTTTGTCAACAGGCAAGTATGGTCATCTCGCTTCCTGATTATGATTCAGGGGCCACAGAATTTACTGCAGAAGTCTCAGATTCTAGTTCCTCTGCAAAGAGCTATTGGTGGATTTTATTCAGTGATTGTGTAAAATATGACAGTCTAAGTCAGACTTCCTCATCCAAGTTCAGTACCACAACATTGCCTGCAATGAATCAGTCTTCTGCATATCGGGAAGTGCTTTAACCACTACAAAACTGCAGATAGACCACCAGCAACTCCTTCACTCTCTTTTAATAGCAGTAAATTAATTGTTTTGATACCTAACACTATCACAGACACTTCCCTTAAGCTTGGACTTAAATGCTTAAGCCTCCAAGAGGAGTGGCACTTCGGTGCACACATTCTGCTCTCTGTGCCTCCCAACAGCTAGTTGAGCTTGTCCTTACCCATCCTGCATGCTCACTGTTGAAAAATGAGAGTTTTTTTGTGATGCTCCACTTTCTAGACCAATACCATATATCTTTTGAGTATGTTTCCCTTCTCTTTATGGTTTATCTCCAGATTTCCTTACAGCAAGGAATCCATTTCTTAATATTTTAAATGTATTTGAGACACTCCACCACTACAACCAACTTCTACCCATCCAAGAGAGGTGGACTTTGAGTGTCCATAGAAGTTCCAGTAGCTCTCTGAGTGGACTTCAAGTTCTTACTGAAAAAAATTGTACCTTTGTCCAGCCAGGAAATTTGACATAGGTGTCTTCAGGTAAGTCTGGAATCCCTCCAGGAATTGAAAGTCTACCAGTGTAAAAAGTAGGTGCTTCATAACTCAGTGGATTGTCAACAGATCTCTTTGGTCGTTCAAGGTGGCAATTAATGTCATGGTTCACTGCTCCATCTATGTCTAGAGGATAGATTTCCCATTCAACAAGTATATCTTGATCAAGAGTTAAATTTGAGACTAGACCCTAGGAGGAAGAAAACACCAAAACATAATTAGCTTCATCTTATTGAAGCTATTTGTCTGCAACTATAAACCAGTCAGGAATAAAAACTGAATCGAAGTACTTGCAACAGCTGCCAATCTGTGTATGAAAAAAACAAGCATCTGGTCTTCATGCAGTTATAAGCTTTGCTTAAGAATAAAGTTTCATTTATTCTCTGGGAAAGATTGTTCCTCTTTGAAATTTTGAGCTTTCATTGATGCTCAAGTGGTTTTTTTCAAACCTTTTTCCCCATAACTGAAAATTTCTGTTTTGCTTTAACATGAACATGATTCTAAAACCTATGAAAGCACAAGAAGCATTAACTATCGTAAGTTTGAGATACCATCAAGAAATTTGGTAACACTGAGTCACTAACCCAAGACATGAACCTGCACAATAGCAGAGAAAGCAACACTTACTTCCCACAAATCTTCTACAGCTAGCACACAGTATCACAAAATCAAACACAGACTTTGTGACCCTGATTCAGTGAAATACTTTAAGCTTACAGTCAGCCTCAAGCCCACAGAGTCCTGTTTCATTTCTATGGAACCATGCGTGCAGCACACCGGGGTACTCGCACAGTGAACACAACAGCAAAGGAAGGTCATTGTGTTATAATAATAGTTCCTAAAATTGTGTTTCAGTGCAATGCAAGGGGTTGATTTTAAACCAATCCTGCCACGTCCATATCATCACTTGAATAGAACCTGCAGAGAAGCTGTTTTTTTCAGTGCAACTTAAGGTCTGTTGCAAACATCACACATCCAACAGGAACAAGGAAAACCACATTTTCTCTGTCCTCAGAGGGCTGATACGATGTCGTGTGTCTGTTCAGATGCCTAGTAAGCATTGCACTGACTCCACAAGCCTCATCATCAGTACAAGCACTACTTGGTTTTCTCCTCCCTTACCTAGATGCCCACTTTCCAGAACAAAAAACTTCTTTTTCTTATATCAAAATAAAATATCTGCATAGAGTTAAGTGGCAAAACTTCTATGCAACCTAGACTTTATTCTGTCTAGCGATCAACTGAAGTAACGCAACACAACTTTAGCCCAAACTTTCTAATCTGCCTCCCTAAGCCCATCTTTAGGCACTACGAACGGTGTGATTTTCCAAATGCAATTAAATGCCTACTAAGGGTTTTTACACATATTCAATCGTTTAGATGTGGATAAATTTTCCAAGTAAAAGAAAGATATAGGTGGCAGTGAGCATGTGAAAAAATATAGAAAAAAGAGAAACCACACTCTTCCTTTGTGTCCTTCAACAACAAGACTTAGATCAACAAAAACCAAAACCCTTTTAAGATTTCTTCTTAAAAGCTAGACACCTAGTTTATTTCAAGCTCAAAAAAAGTGACAAAAAGCCACCCAGCCAAACAAAATCCAGAAAAGCTACCCTATTTGCTTAAAAATGCGAGGCTTCACAAGGTAGGAACCTCTTCCCCTAAAGTTATTTTTTAAAATGAAAAATATCTAAAACTCAAGGTATAATATTCACAGTTTTCAAAACCAACACAAAGAATAGCATGAAGGAAGGATTCTACCAGATGAAGCAATGCATGTTTTCCAAAGCTACCTGAGAAAGACTGCCTCTTCCACACAGAAGGATCCTGCATTTAGAGGATGCAAGTGTAGATGTGTCTAATAAACTTGCTTTCACTCTTAAATCTTTAAAAGGTTGAAACTCTGGCATAAGTGTGAATTTCAGCTCAACCACAGTAACACTGAGCACCTCCCTAATCCAACCTCTAGCTCTTTGTTCTGTTACTTTAATTTAGCACTAAGCACACAGGTTCCTTATCACCTGTGAGTAAATAAATAGGTACATGCAACATTTCTGCTGCTTCTGCTTGAAGGCAAAACATTAGGGAACTAGCTGCCCTTTCCTGCCACTCAGATAAAGGCAAGGCAACTTGAAAAGCCAGAAAAACACTGTATAGCAGCTCTAAGTAAGAAAAATGGGAGGGAAACAGCCCTGCAGACACCAAGGTCAGTGAAGGAGCAGGGGAAGGAGGTGCTCCAGGTGCAGGAGCAGAAATCCTCCTGCAGCCCATGGTGAAGACTGTGGTGGCACAGGTTGTCCATTCCCCATCCTTCTGCACCTCTCAGGGGAAGAGGGCAGAAGAATCAGGAGTGAAGCTGAGCCTAGAAAGAAGGGAAGGGTGGTTTTAAGATTTGTTCTTATTTCTCATTATCCCACTTTGTTTAATTTGCAATAAATTAAATTAATTTCCCCAAGTCAAATCTGTTTTGCCCACGACTGTAATTGCTGAGTGATCTTCCTTGTCCTCATCTCAACCCACAAGGTTTTCATCATATTTCCTCCCTATCCTGTTGACAGAGGAGGAGTGATAGAGCAGCTTGGTGAGCACCTGGTAGCCAGCCAAGGTTAACCCACCACAGCCACTCATGCAGCAAGGCAACAGTCCCAAAGGGCACCATGGACCTAGAAGCATTTGGAAGCTTTCTGACAATTATCTCTAACACTGATAAATCCAAATCTGAACTGGCAATTTTGCATGGTGAAGTGCTCATGAGACAGTCTTTCCTAGCCACACTGAAAATATTGCAAGGGTATGCTGCTGAAAAAACGATATGCGACACAGAAAAAGACACAAAAGTGTATATAAATGTACCCATACTCAAATACAACCCCAAGATTCACAAGCCTTGAAATACAACCAAGATCTAGGCCAACTTCCAATCCATTTTTGGAGTTTATCCAAACAGCTTTGCACATTTTAAGATGTTAGCTACAGGGTCAACTCAATTTGAAAGTCTTGTGGGCGACACTTTGGCTGAGAACATAAGTGAACCAACAAGGAAAAACTTAAAATATGTCTGTCAGTTTTCAATTCCACTTTGATTTCGGTGACTCAAATGCAAACTAGTGAGTAGTAATACTTTGAGGCTAAATTACAGCTGTGTAATCCTGATCCTTCTGCTCTAACCCACTACTTTCTTTTAAACCTGTGGAAAAGAGGAAAAGCCATCATAATCCAGTAACTCAATTGATTTTACTTACCTTGAAGTCATTATTGTATCTACCAAAGTTAACTCGGCCCATATTCTCTACCAAGATGTCCAGATTTGCTCCAGCCTTCCCAGTTATATTTATCGTAAGTGATTTGTCCCTTTCAAGGACACCTTGAGGAACCTATATGAATTACACCAAGATTAAGAAAACAATAACCATTGAAAACCAAGAAAACGCTGTTTTTGATGCACCTGATCACAAGAAGCAAGTCCTCAAATTTAGTCTAGTGACTGAAAAGATGTTGGCAATATCAGTGACGAAAAGGGGTTTCATCTTCCAATGAAGCTCACATCAATATTTAGCTTTATTTATTCCCATTCCCACAACATAAAGAAAGAAGAGCTTGACTTGGACACAAAGGTGATGAGAGACAGCATGGGTCAAAGAATAATTAAAAAACAGGCTATCAAAGTCCAAGAATTTATATTAATTCTCATTAAGCAGGAACAAAACCCTGCTTAAGGGATGAAAGGTAAAGACCACACATCCTGTGCAATAAACTTTTAACTTGTGGTCAGAAGCCAGTTTCATAAGGTAAAACATAGGCTAAGGCTTCTACTTTCCCCCTCCCTCAAATGGAAAAAAAAGAAAAGACAAAAAAATTTTAAAAAAAACAATCTATGGAAACACTGCAGAAAGCCACCAACTGTATATGATTAATGTATTTCATGAACCTGCAAGTAAACCCTTCTTCTAGGTTTTTTTTTTTTTCACTAAAGTCATGAATCTGTATCAACGTTCAAATATCTCAAAAAATAGAAAAGATTAGAAATAATAGTAATTTTCTGAAATATGAATACAAACATTTAGTATGAGTCAACTGTATACTTCCTTACTTCCTTCAACTGATTAAAGAAGATTATCCAATAAAGTTATTCTGGGAAACTGGAGAAAGGAGTTAAAAAAAAGGCAGACTGTATCCTTTTGGGATATGACTTTTGGGAAGGTCACTCACAGCAGAAATTAATACCAGCAAAAATGTTTACCCCATCGACAGAGACATAGGCACGATCATGGACTCCGTTTAAAGGTGAAGACAGTTGCGCTGGCTCCACACAGTTTTTTGGAAGCATAGTTCTGTACAGTACAAACCCAAAATACTAAGAAAATAAAAAAAAGGAAAAAAAATCAGATTAATGAACCAAGTCATTCTGTAGCTTCAGTTCAGGTCATTAATTAGAAATAGCCCACATTCCTGCCTACATGCTCAGACTGAAATGTTAACTTTCATTCACTTCAGATAGCATCTATCACAGATACCGGCTTCAGATTAGAGTTCACTTTGACCTTTAAGTAACGGGTGTAAATTCCACAGAGTTTCTATTTTTAAATGTTTCATCAGAACATTTATGTAACTTTAAAAGATAAGGGTCTTAGCTGCGAAGGTATTTCCTCAGTAAAAATAAAGAAGCTAATGACTGATGGTCTTATTTCTTCACTAAATTCAGTGAAAAGATAACTGGAAAGCCCCTTCATAACTAAGTTTATATAACAAACTTTGAAGTGCACTTGTCACCCAGTGCCCATAAATTGCCATATTCATCAAGTTGGTATTATCTATTTTAAAAACTACCTGATTTACCTCAGAAACATTTTGGAATATTTTTCACTAAGTTCCCCATCAGGAAAGAAAAAAAAAATAGTCAGTCATTGGACTTGTTCCCAACATGAAACACAAAGTCAAAAAATGCATAATCTCTTTCTCTCAGGAGCCATGAAAACATTTGTCTTCAAGACTTGGATTAGAACATACCCGAGAGAAAAAAGTGAGAGTAAACCATTTCCATTCTGCTATAACTATTATGTTTGCATTACATCTGTAACATATCTCAACCAGTAGGGTGAAAGACCTCAACAGTGGGTTGCAACAGCTCCAAGAGGTTGCTCCCAAAGGTTTCTCTCACTGCATTCTCTTGCCTCACTATCCATGTCGTGAAAGAAAAGGACTACAAATAAGTAGGAGGCCCATAGAAGAGTCAAACGGATTGTATTCCCCAGTTTCCAGGCTCCCCGACTTGTATAAGAAGGGACCATCTCAGCCACTGTGCTCACTCTGATAGCAGGTGAGGAGAGGCAAAAAAAAAAAAAAAGCCAGGATAAGGAAAATTAATAGTGAAGAAAAAAAGGATAAAAACGTCTCTTAAGAACCTGGAAATCAATAAAGAGGAGATAAAGGTGAAAAGCCAGGACAACATATACACCTACATTCTGGGAAAGAGGAAAACCCCAGGTGCAAAACATGAGCACTGTACAATATGGAAAGGTCTCCAATGCAAAAAGTCCTGGACACCTTTATAATACTATTACTTCTGTGCTGAGATAAGGTGCAAGACACTGGACATAAGAAGAGTCGTACCACAGAGGGTTGTTTAACTAAACTTTACAAAATTACTGCAAAGTGCCTGCTGAAGGAATCCTCACCTGCTTTAGCTGAACAAAGGTTAATGGGTAAGTGCTTTTCACTGGTCCTGCAGCTGACAGCCTGTCAAGAACATCCACCACAGTGCCCACCTGCAGCATGGAAAAAGCAGATATATGAAGGTCAGTAAATTTCAATCCAAATATAACATCTTGCACATCCAGCCATCTAGCTGCATCTGTCCAGAAAGCAAAGAAATCTTAAGCCCTTACATCATCCTTATAAGACACATTAAAAATACAATACAGTACAGAGAACAGATGAACCCTCAAAGAAAGATGCTACATGTGGAGCAATATTTTAAAAATACAGATGTTCAAAATTTTCTATGCATTCGTAAAAATAAAAGTGACCCTTTATTATTCAATGAGAACTAACCCAAGAGCTTCTCACAAAAGTTCTATAAAGAGACACAACTGCTCTGAACAATTAATACAAAACAACTGTATTATCTAAATTTTGCTCAATTACATTTACAAACAAGATAGGGAAAATGCCACTGATTTCTCTCAAAGTCCATTATCAATTTTATGTTAGTCATGTGAGAGAAATCAGTGGCATTTTCCCTAAGTCCATTATCAATTTTATGTTAGTCATGATGCACAGAATATGCCTCCTGTCTTACAAGCTCAAAGAATCAATCATCTTCATATTTTCCATGCAAGATGTCATTCTGCTTAACCAGAAATATTGTCACTGTTCATTGGTAATTCCATATCAGACATTCAAAATATTTCACTTATGGACTAGGCTGGTAGAAGCTTGTTTCTTTGAAACTTCAATGGATTATTTTTGTTCAGCTTTTCACTCTTAGTGGTGTGCGCAAAAAAAACCAAACGAAACAAGATCCGCTTTTGCTGCAAGTTCCTGTTGACTACTTAGTGGACAATTGTGATGAACTGACCACAACCCCCATTCCACATCCCCCAGCACCACTGGAGGGGAGGAGGTAGAGAAATTGTGAGTCAAGTTAAGCCTGGGAAGAGGGGAGGGGTAGGAGGAAGGTGTTTTAAGATTTAGTTTTTATTTCTCACTACCTACTCTGATTTGATTGCTAATAAATTAAACTAATTTCCCCAAGACAAGTCTGTTTTGCCTGTGACAGTAACTGGTGAGTGATCTCTCCCTGTCCTTATCTCAACCCACAAGCCCTTCATTATATTTTCTCTCCCCTGTCCAGCTGAGGAGGGGAGCAATAGAGCAGCTTGGTGGGCACCTGGCATCCAGCCAGGGTCAACCCACCACAGATAGTCAGGTCAAAGCTGCAATATTTGAGCAAGCTTTGTCATCCAAGTTCTCCTTTTGAAGACAAGTGTCTGGGCCAGGCACCCCACAGCATTCGTTTCTTGAACACGTGAAAGAGAAAGTTCATCGTTCTGGTGAAATTGGACAGCTCGGAGAGCCATGAACCATGAGAAGATGGCAGAGTCAAAATCTGATTGCTAGGCTCCCAAATGCTGGCAACCTCTGATAGCAGTAGACGTGATGGGTGTACTGATAATGGTGTATAATTAGTCACTACCAAATACAAGCCAGTTCAGTGAAATCTCATATGGAAACCCCTGCCCTAAAACATCTGAGGATATTCAAAGGCTGTTGAAAATGATATAGATCTGTTTCAACTTCACCAGTGAATTACTTTTATACAAAAAGTATTTCTGCCCACCACTTGAGTGGGATGACTTGAAAACACCTGCAAAGCCTTATCACTACCAAATTTTGCAACACTTCAGCCGCAGTGCGTAACAGATCAGATACATCACTGATTGGAAAGGTGGCTGCCAAATTAAAAATACAAACTATAAAATCAAAACGTTACAAACTACAGTATCCCGTATACCAGCTGCGGTAATCCTTCACCTCAGAACAACTTGTCTGCGCCCAGCAGAATAAATGCAGCCAAGTTCATACCTGTTGTCTCTTCCATCTCCCCTTAAACCATCCTCTACACTCACTGTAGGAACCTAGTTCTCAACCATATTTCACAGAAAACTGTCACTGGTCCTAAAATGATGGTCCTATGGACCAACCCCAGCTACTCATGTGCTGACCAGCTCTACCACTGTTGTCAGACAGGATATAGCAAGGCTGCGTTCTGCATGGTTTTCCCTCAAAAAAAAATTTCTCTCATCAGCTACAGATTTTCCACAAATCTTTTATGAAACTTTTCAATAAATTTGGAAGTCTTATCAATAAGTGTTCCATATTCAAAATTTAAACACCTAGAAGTATTTAAAAGATATGTATATCCTACCTGCTGCTTCTACTTCAGGGCATCACCAACACAAAAACACCCTTTGCTCACAGCTCTCATGCTAGCATTCCCCAGCTACATTACTCATACAAGAGTTATCTTAGACAACCATGATTCTGTTGTGTTAAAAATACATTATTTCAGTTTAGTAAAACTTCAGGCACATACTGTACATTGTAAAAAATATTTTTTTATATCCACCTAACATACATTTTCTTATTTTCCACCATGGGCATGATTCCTAACTCCCAAGCTCTGCCCCCTCCTTCCTGAAAGTTTGTTTTCAAGGTTTCCCTCTTTATTTTCTGTGATATCTAGAGTGCCATGACACCCTCATGAGCATGTTTGTTTTTTGCAAAAAATACAGCACTACAGAAAGATACACAGTGTATTACAGATGTCAATTTACCTTTTGCAAGCGAACTTTCCCATATGCAAATTTGGGTGTTGTCGGAGGGATAAGACCTTCTGGTAACTGCTTATACTAGAAAGGAAAGGAAGAAAATAAACAAAACACACACACAAAACTTCAATACAAACATGCTTTAACTGAATTCTCACTTTCCATGTCACAACTTACAAAAGTAGAATAACCTCACTGTGCTAAAGGATTACAGCTGCATCTAGTCTAAAATGGAGGATTTAAAAAAAAAATAAAGCCTGACTTAATCACATCCAGTAAACAATTTTTAACAATGATTCAACTTAAGGTCACAGTAAAAAGCATAGCAAAGAAATGAGCTGCCAAAGAAACACCGGTGCCCTCAGAGCCCTCCTGTGGCTAGAGCCTGCCTTACTGTCTTCTACAACCCTCCTGCAGTGGTCTCCCCAGTACATGGGAGCCTGAGTTAACCTTTCCAAACCTGTAGGACAGTATTTCCACCTGACCCTTCATTAGCAGCACTTCCATAAAGGAATTATTAGCCTCTTGTGCCTTGTGTTATTATACTCCACCACCACCACCTGCTAATCCATTGCTGCCCGGGCTAGTCTCTTTGAGAAGCAGATCTGTTCTTTCATTTACTGAACATGGCCCTGTCTGCATGCTACAGAGAAAAAGCTTCTGCAGGCAAGACATCCCTGTGATCAAGCAATCTAAGCCTAGATTTTCACACACATGCACAAAGGACCTCCCTTGTGAAGGCTATCTGAATCTGCACATTCAGTGACTTCCCAGTGCTTGCTTTTGCAGTTCCCAGTTTGGTTTTGGTTTTTTTAAAATAAATTTGGTGAGGGACTAAAAGGGCATTTTTCTTAAAAAGAGTTTACTTTGACTTCAGCTTAAAAGTTTTAGCACCAGGTATAATTTGCTAGGCTTACACATGGCATATCCAGCACAAAACTCATGCTCAAAAGCTCACCTCTGTACCAAGACAAGGTGGTTTTTTTGTGTAGCTGATTTTTCTTTTTTTTTTTTTACAGACCAAAGCATTATAATTCCCAATACCCTCCTGCTAAACCTCAACTACGGACTGATGAAAGCCTGATTTATGTTTCTGGTAGCAAGTTCACTTCTTACTCTCTGTATTTGAAAATAATCAAGGTTCAGGCTTAAAGAAAACAAAACTATATTCACCCAAGACAAGAAGTCAAAAGTGGGAAATTTCAGCCCAAATGGTAAAAATTAGAGAATGCTGTCAGCAACTGAAAGAAGCTGTAGACTGAAACCCTTCTCCTTTACATTTATTAACTGAAGGAAACAGTAAAGGAAAATTATAAAGTGTTAGCCTTGTAGCACAGCTAACATGTTAAATGCAGTCATTAGTTACAGGCAACTTAATTTTCTTTCATCAGCCCCACCTCAAACTGCAACTGAGTAGATATAGACTGTTATGGGTTTAGAACCCACAGCAGAGACAGGAAAACTTCACCGAGATCCTATGGATATGGAAATTAAGAGATAAACAAACCACACCAAAAAAAGCTGTAGCGTGACCCAACACACCTTAGGTTATACTGAACACTTCAGATCTTATCAAATCTATCTCAGTGCGCTAGAACACTACTTACATTTCAGATAGGGATCTTGCCTTGAAGAAAACAACTCAAAAACAGGAAGTTTGGGAATATCTCTGGTGAGAAAAACTGTATCGAGACGTGAGGATACCTTTGAAAGGCTATCAAAATCATCCCATCAAGGGAAAGCTCAGGGATAATGGAGAAACTGAAGAAAATGATCCACAGCAGGCCTTCTGCAGGTATGGAAATAAAGGCGTGCTCAAACCTAGAGAAAATGTAATACACTTCTCGGAGATCTACTCCCCTCAAAAGCATGTCTTCTAGTGAATAGGAACGTTGCTGGCATACAACAGGTGAGCGAGTACAAGCCTGAGCCTTCAGATTTCCACAGAATGTGTTTTTAAGGCTCATCTGAACAGCCTTCAATGCAAGGCTATTCAAAATCCAGATACAGGTTCCATGTTTCACTTCAGTCTCCAGTTTGTAGAGATACTGTGCATTTTTACAGCAAAGGCAAAGCTGGTCCCACCCACTAGCTACAGTTTGTGGCATCACAAAAACATCTAAAAATCCCACTTCTAAATAAGTCCTAGGGACACTCACCATACCAATGACCTCCCTCAAGGCAAAATATTTTTCTGTCAGATCCCCCGCTTCACTCAGGGGAGCATCATAGTCATAACTAGTGGGCTGTGGCATGTAGGGCATATTGGCACCTAAGGGAGAGGAGAAAAAAATAAAAAGCAATAGAAGTAGTGAAAGAGTTGGGTTTTTTTTTTTTCACAAAGGTATCAACTTTCAGAATTCTTTTCAGTCACAGCCAGACACTGCTACATTTTTAGATTCAAAATAGGCCTTGCTATTTGGGATTTGGCATAGAGAAACTGTTCCTGATGGAGGACAATGTCCTTCTGAGCTCATACTGCTCTATTACAGTGTCTTCAGAAATATTCTGAAGAGAAACAAATTTATCCATGTTTCCACTGTTTCACAGGACTGAGTGAAACAGAAGTAGCCTTTGCAAGATCAATACCATGGGGGTTTAGCACAACGTGCTGGCAATAGACAGAGAACAGCTAGTGCAGTCCTCTTTTGCCATGGGAAAGCAGGCATAGCTTATTCTTTCACATAATACATTACTTCTTAATTCATAAACAGCTCCCCTACATCATTAGTATAATTTACATGATTTCTTACCATTCCAATAGCCAAAGTTAGTCCCACCTATAAACATGTACCTAAAAAGGAAAAAAAAAGCCATCCACTTAAATCAGGTTTTCTGATTTGGGAAAAAAATCCCCCCAAAATTAACCTCTACTGAACACACACTTACAGGTTAACATTAGCACCACGTGCCAGGATTTCATTAAGTGTTTTAGCAATAGCTTGTGTGGGCACAACAGAATGGCGGTGCCCCCAGTGATCCAACCATCCAGTATAAAACTCAGAATTAACCTGAAAAGAGGAAGGGCAAAACAGAAAGGGAAAACATGAAGAGGGAACCAGAACAGCATGCAACGTGGTTTAAGGTTACTAGCTGTAAGAGGGAAGGAAAAGAGGCACCTTGACTCATGCAAGCCATTTTTAAGCTACTATAAATACAACAAAGTACACACTAAATCAGTCCTTTTCAGGAGGTTACTGGCCAAAGAAATTAAATGATAGTTTCAATAATTTTATAGGGACACTTTGAAAATAATGGCTTAAGTACCCACGAGCACACATTTCCTTGGAACCTGTCAAAATTAACATGTTTCAGACGCTTGGCATTCATATAAATGATGGAACCAATACAATCTCTGTAGAATAGCATACATAGACTAGATGTAACCAAAAAAAAAATCTTTCAAATACCCAAGCTGCCTTCTAAATAACTTCATAGCACAGAGATAATCTTGTAATCTTAATGGGCCTTCTCCCTATGTCAAAATGGCTCCCAGTGATCTCACATCCCATTCTAGCTGGTGTAAAACCTTTAAGGGTAGCTGAAAACAGGAAGCAACTTCTAACCTACTCTTTTAATTTTGCTTTTAACTTCCACCCACACGCATACCTCACTAACTCATCTAATCATACTTACTGTTTCCGCTGCTTTGTAAACATTTGTCTTAAGAAGGAAAAACACTGAACCAAAATCAATACCTTTTGAGTCTAAAATAGTATTTGCAGAACAGCAGTTAATGTGGATTTGACAAACACACACAGAAGCTCCGTTATTCAGTTTTTTCTGACTGCCTTGGACATTATGCCTTCATAGACGTGCCTCTACAACTCTCCAACACACTGATGTCAACTCCTCTCCTATTAACCGCTGCAACATTAGGAATGACACAAGAAATTTAAGTGAAAAGACATACCAAAGGGCCTGTAGGTTCACTGCTCCTTTGAGCTAAGAATGCTGCTGTGACATTGCCACCTATAATCAGAGAGAAATAAAATTGAGTTGCTACATCCGTGACTTTTTCAGTCTTTCATTTTACTAAAATAGAAATAAAACTGAGTTGCTACATCCATGACTTTTTCAGTCTTTCATTTTACTAAAATAGGTGTCCTGTCTCACTTCCAACATCTAGCAAAAATCCAGACAAGAAAGTTACATCAGAAAACACAGAAATCAATGCCTTTGATTCCAGTGTTTAGGTTGCAGAACTTATTTAAGATATATACATACATGTATGCATGCATGCATTGTATGTCTTTGCCTTTGAGATACATCTTCTGAAAACCCAGTTTTTCTCAAGAATGACATCCTGGCACCAAGAACTCTTGACTTGTGTCAAGAATTGCTACTCGGTCATTTGCTACCAGTCAAGTCAGTTTGAACTGCCACAAGCACACACAACAGAATTTTTTGGTAACAAACTGCCATCTCCAACCTGGAGCAAAGTCCACCGTTGCATAAAGACCCTGAAGAGCTCCACATCTCAAGTGAAACTGGCTTGCACCATCAGTTGTGAACAGCACCACCTCATCCCCAAGATGCTGGCGAAAGAGCTTCAGAAGGGAACGCAAATAGTTGTAGTCGCAAGCGAAGTAGCTTCCGTACTCATTCTCCACCTACACAGTAAAAGCAAGTCAGTAAAGCTATAGCCAGCTTCAGCCTGCATCTGAAACCAAAATGAAAAGTCTAAATCCACCTGTCCTCTTCCTTTGACAGCAATGCTGAAAATGTAATTTTAACTCCAGACCTGAGGAATAGGAGAAGACAACACTTCCAGGCACTCATTCCTCTCACATGTATCATACAGTGGAGCAATCACTGTGTGGAGATAAGTAATTTTCCTAGAAAATCACCTTCTGCATAAAAATCTCTACCCCAGCTACTTAGCAACAGTGATCAAAACAGAGTCTTTATTAAAAAGGGAGAGCTATGACGCACCTCCCAAGCAGAACAATAAAACACACAACAGGTTGTGACATGATCAAACCTACAGCAAAATTGGACTTCCAGAACAGAAACATCTACAAGGGGCTCACATGAACAGCAAAGCCCTGGAATGGACTCAAAGGACTGAGGGGAGAAGGACAATCTGGCTACTACTGAGAGGTATGCATCTTGCCCTTTTCCCAAGGGGACGGACTTTCAAGCTCCAGATCCAATGCCACACACACCTGAAAGTTATTTCTAAAAATCCTGTTATAAGCATCTTATTTCTGCCAAGGAATAATTTTGCCAAGTGCTTTTGCTCAATAGACATAATACATTGTTCAAGAACAATGACCTTAGGCATATTATAAGAAGGGTCTCCTATCCCATCCTGTGCCAACCAGGGAGTTTAAAAAAAAAAAGAAGTTAAAACAAAGCTTTTATTATGCTCAAATACTAATATGAAGCTATCACCACTGCACATCTAGAAGGAGTTTAAGAGGGAAGCTACTCACCAAGAATGCACAACATTGTGTTCTGCAATATTTACAGCTTAAATTAGGTGCCAAGAACTAAGAATCCTAAATTTTGAGACAGTTGTTGTCACAAATTTTAGGCTCACTCCATACTGCTTTTGCTTCTATCTGCAAGTATCCGTATTCCCCTTTTTTCCTGTCGGAGGGTTTCAGGCAATTGTAATGGATTGTGGCTTTATGTAAGAACTGTCACGAAACTCAGGCCTAAAAAGCTCCACAAGTTTCCTCTAGTGCTTTCTATAGTTGTGGGGAACAACTTTGACATAGCAGATAAGTGCTCTCTGAATTCTGGAAATAGTACATTCAGTTCTTTAGGATACAAGTTTCCATCAGAATCTTTCAGCTACCTGAAACTGTTAAGGAACATCTGTGACTTTGCCACCCAACACCCACAGAGTGACTGCAAGAGCAACATAAGCATCCATCCACGCTGCTTGGGTTCATTTGATTCTCAGGAAGTTACCTGCACCATGATGATTGGACCTCCGTTTTGATAGAGATGAGGCTTCATCTTTGGTAAAAGGACACCCATCCACTTCTCTACCGCTGCCAAGTAATCTGTCATACACAAAGTATAAATGTTTCACAACTTTTCTGCTTTTTTTCTGGTTGTTGTCTTATATTATATACAAGTAGTTTTTGCCTAGTATTCTAAATATGTAAAGTACAACAGAACAGCTTTTACTGAACTGATGTGCTCTTATACTTATTCATAATATCAGCTTCCAGTACAGTTTACTAAAAAATAAAATATTTACATACTGAGCAACTTTGAAAGTCACCAGAGAGACTTCAATACGTATCACACAGGTTGTCCTAATACATTTCAACAGGAAAATTACTTCTCTCTTGGGACCAATTACCATGAAACTCGTCAACACCTTGGAAACTTTCTACCCTACTTTGTTCTGTATACTTCCTGAACGCACACTTCTTAATCAGATGCACTGAACATTTTACTCAAGATAATTTAAGCTGAAATAGGAATTATCTAGTAAGGGCCTTAAACAGCAGTCACCTTGCTGCTAAAGTGTGGTTTTTTTTCTAGTTTTTTTTGATGCCTTTACCTGAATCAGAAGACCTGAGAACAATAGATTTCTTCTCCAACAGCCATGCAGGAAGACCTCCCTGGGAAAAGAAAGGGAATCATTTCAGTGACTATCTTTAGCAAATGTAAGAAGAATTTATCCTTTTATCAAAACACATACTGAGACCTGAAGATTGAAGATTGATTTTCTACAAGTAATAATTCCCAAAAAAACAAAGTAATTTTGTGTTGTAAGAAGTCACTTAGGATGCTTTGATTTTAATACACTAACCCAACAGTCTTGTTCAAGGATACACCAAGGATGTTTGTCTACTTTAAGACAGAAATACTGGCATTAGATTTACCCTAGAAATGAGATAACCGTTACAAAAGACTGTACCATGTCCCATTCTGCACAGATGTAAGGTCCAGCTCTCAGGATAACCAGCAGACCAGTGTCATTTGCAAGCTGCAGGAAATACTCCAGATCTTTGTCACCAGCAAAATCATAGACACCCATCTGGGGTTCATGGTAGTTCCACGGCACATACCTGTCAAGAGAGAAGATCACATTCCATTAGGAAACTGAGACTAAACCAGAACTCTGAATAACAACTGTTTGCAGTTGTCTGCAGGAGTCCATATGAATGCAAGGACAGATTCTGGTAGCACTATTTGGAAACCATGATGTCTGCTGCAAAATTCAAGTAGTTAACAGATCTTAGCAAGTCAGCTGCCAGTTGTATCACGGTGGGAGGTCTGTAAAGAGATGAATACTGTCAACCATTCACAAAGGAGGTGGTTAAGGACAAGCTTGCACAAAACTGCATGACCCTTTGTAAACCGATCACGCAGCTTGCACAGGAAACAACAACTTGGCTGACAGGTCCATGCTGCTGCCACTAGAAAGGACTTGAAAATGTCTAATCCTCAAATGATATTGCAGGTAGGTCCTGAAAGTTTTCATTAACCAGGAGCAAGACAGGTTCTAGAAAACCTGAAGGCAGAGGATGCTAAGGTGCCTAGGAGTCTGGACAAAGTAAAACTTATTTTTAACCAAGTAATAAAGCTGCCAAACACGCAGACAACCATTTGAGAGTACACCTCTTTGCTACTTCCAGGGCTTAGGAAACCACAACCTCACCACAGAACATCTCACAGAAGACAAAAAAATACAGTTGGTCGCAAGACAAAGAAACACACTATCTACCAACTACTAGGCACAGTGTTGTAGCTTATGGCCCATCCTTGACAATCAGCAGTTTCGGCTTGGGCTAGTACTAAGCAGCAGTTGTAACATTAAAATTAGGGAAGAACACTGCCTGAGCAAGGATTCAAGACAAGAAAACTCATTCACCATACAGTTACCTTTTTGCACATAGGTTCCTAATCCTTCTAAGGGAACTGTTGCCACTGTTCCAGAGAACAAATTTGAGAAAAATTTGTAAAACTAAAACTGTGGTTAGTCAAGCAAAGACTCAGGCAATACTTTTCTTACCGTCTAGGTTTGTTTATACGTCCCAGAGTTAATTTTGTAAGAACTACCCAAGAGAGAAAAAAAAAAGTGCAGAAAACAGTGTTTTCAATAAACAAGAAAAAGAGGAAAAGCATTCTAGCTGTAATTTAACTACACCTTGTAACCTGTTAGGTAGGAAAATATACTCATTGGAGAGTTCTATGACTTGTTCTATAAATGAGTCTAAAGGTCTAAATATGCTTAATAGTGTTTGAGGTGAGGACAAAAGGGTTTCTCCAGCTCACTTTCACTCAAGAAAGAAGATAGAAAAATTCTTCAATAAACTGTTTTAATTTATGCCCCATGCTTCTGCAGAAGGCCAGAAAAAAGAGCAGATTTTAGTGGAGAAGGGAAGAAAGTGAAGAAAAATATTTTTGTGAAGTGTTTTCTTACAGAATCAATCATGATATAAATGTATTTTAAACACTGGTCTAAAAATTCTTCCTAATTACTTTAACCCCCCAGTATATTTCCTACAGCTAGCAACATCCTCAAATTACACTATTTTACTTGGAAATTGCTATTCTTAGCAAGTATAGCTCCTATATACCATTGTGCAACTTTATAGTCAGTTGTTAATGCTGTACTGCTTTAGCTATAGAATAATGAGTTTATAAAGGAATGCCACATTCCTTTTTCAACCTTGAAATGAGGTATTTCTTCTGTATTTGAGCAACAGCATTTACTCTCCACTTACAAACAACTGCTAAGCTTTATCCTATGACCAGACTTTTCTTTAAAAGTCAGTTTTGCTCTCCTATTTCTGTGATATGTCAACAGGCAAAAAAACCCCCACTTTAACTACTCTAATGTACAGGACAACTCTCTCTGTAAATAGCAGGGTTGATTATTTTTTAAGAGAGTAAAGATAAATAGCTTGTACTAATTTCATAAGTAATAGAGCAGTACTTTACACATGCTAGTTAAATTATACATATTTAGCCCCATCTAGTGGTTAACTGTTTAACAAACCACTAGCTTTCAGTCCTTTCCGGATGTCTTTGATAACATTCATTTCTAGTTGGCAGACAATTCAGGAACTGCAAACAAGGACAGTTACCCTTGTGAGACCAGCTACCTCTGCGTCCTACCCGCTGAGCTCCTAGGTATGCCTCCATCATCTTCCAGGGTGTCACACCAACCACAACATAAACTTTCAACCTGCTATTTGGAAGCTTAAAGCTCAAAATATCAAGGCCTAAATGCAAGATCAAACTTCCTGTCTCTTGTTATCTCATATTCTGTTATTGCTTAAGGCATTTCCAGGGGCACATAGTTATTGACATGAACTGACTTCACCCACTCAAGAGTCCCAGACGACCTGCTGACTCAGTCATCAGCTGAAGGATGCATCGAGGCATAGCAAGTCCTTTGCAAATGAGGCTGCAGAGAACAGGAAGGAGAGCAGGTCTGGCTTGCTTTGACCACATGGTATTTACAAAGACAATCCTGAAATAAAAAGATCCTGTTTCCCTTGAAGTGGTAAGCCTCACTGGGAGCACCTTGATAAGAACAAGGAAGGCTCCCCCATTTTAAATTATAGCAAGACCCTTCCCTATCTCATGGGAGAAACCCCAAGTGGCAAAATCAGTCTTCGGAGGTAGCCCCAAGGTTGGGAATCCAGCTGTCTGTCAGTCCATAGCACGGAAGCAGGCTGTTTCAAAGACAAGGTCTAAGCCTTCTAATGATTTAGGAAAGAAAAACAAACATGTTTGGGAATTACAACTACTGCTTGAAAGGACTGCGCCTCACACTCTTCTACCACTCCTCTTCCCTTGTTAAGGAAGCTTTGGCAAAAATTAGAGTAAGCTACATTTTTTTTTTAATCTGTGCCTCACTTGCTGTAGTAATTACACAACTAGGTGGGAAAGACAAGAAACATGGACTAAGGGTTTGGTACATGCAACTGAAAGCTATTTAAACTGTTTGGTGTTTTGTTTTTTAAAAAGTACACCTACTACTCAACCATTTATCTAAACACTCCTGGTGAAACAGATTTAAATATTACTGCAGCCTTTGCCAGTACTTTTAAGGCTTCAGATACAACCTAGGCTGTCCAAAGAGCTTATTATCCCCTCTTGCCTTTCCTGCCTTTTGACCAGAGATTACAACACCCTTGGCAGAGGTGGAGTACATACAACTGTTCCATAGTAGTCGCCAAAGTTCACAGTCCAACAATTACAGGTCACATTTACACTCTGGGTTGTGAAGCAAGAGGCATTGACTATCAGCAGGGAAGTGGACTGTTACCTATAACCTGCCCAGTTGTCCCAGTTTATGCTGTTAGAGATCAACCTGTACCACCATTTGCTTCTCCAGAGCTTTCTCAGCTATTGCTTAAAAATTAATAAACTAGCAACAATGGTAGCAGCCCACATAACTACTTCTCATACATCTCCCAGGACTACAATCAGTTTGAAAGTCAACTTACGTTTGAATGGCATCAAGTCCTGCCATCTTCATCTTCAACAAGCGGTCTTTCCAGTAATACCGGGGCACCCGTGAGTAGTGAATGCTACCCGAGATGTAACGGAAAGGTTTCCCATCCTTGACAAAGCAGTCGCAGTCATAATCAATTCCAAAACTCCTCTGGGGTATAGTCTGTGTACAAAAAACAAAACCAAAAACTTACTCAATGCTTTTCTGCCTTGAAAGACACAGAGAGGAGTCTGTGGGTTGTCCGCAGACTTTCTACAGTGATACCTTTTGCAGTTGCTTATATCAGCACAAATGATGAACAATTCATTAGCAGAGATTTGGTGAGTGCCAACACTTTGCACTCAACACTTCAACTTACTAAACCGTTGGAAAACACAACCCCAATTCCAACTTAATGTCATCACTCAAGTGTAGAAGTGAAAGCCAGCTGGGAGCTTGTGAGGAACAAATACCACATTCAACATTCTTTTATTGTCAGTGCAACCCATTGCTCACAGATAAAACTTAAAACAAAACCAAAACGGTTCTCATCATGAATTTATGCCTGGCTCTGTCAATATTGTATACTCAGTTGTGAATACACAGAGGGAATGAATTCCCTGCATCTCCCTGGAAGATGGGGTAGTGGGTCTGCTAGTTTAGTAAGCGGATCCAAACAGACACAAACTAACTGTACACTATTTTGAGTGCCAGTTCATTCATACCACATAACATTAATGCCCTTAGAGGCAATGGCATGATGTTGCATCTTACGCGCTCAGAACATACTCGCAGGTAAAAGGGAAGAACTAAAGAATTTGTCCTTTCTTAAATCAAGAACTTATTTTTTGCAACCTTAATGCTCTTTCAACATTTTATGTTTATGTGTCTCAACACAGAAAAAATCATAGCTTCAGCACACAAAATGATTTAACAGGGGCTAGGATCCCTCATTCTCCAAATTTACAAAACAGTGGTTTTTTTCTAATTTGGAAAGCAAACAAATGTGGATACAAATGAACCCCTCCACCTGTGAAGATTTCTAACATCTCTATGTAGATGATTCCAACACAGAACACCCCTTTCAAGGCCATTTCTCTACCCCAAAGCTTAAGTATCAGAGCTGAGAACAATAAACCCCTTGTTTTCTTCTGCTCCTGCCAAAAAACCTCTTAGTGTCTAATCTCTGCCCTTGCAGAGGTTTTTTTCTCTGCATCACATCTTCATCTCTTCAGCCTGCACTTCATCCCCCTAATAGGCATTAGGGAAACTTAATACTGGCCTTACCTTCCCCACTTTGCACCATACCTCACTTAACAGTGCAGGTGTACGATTTTCTGAAACTAGTCACATTTATTGCCAGTAGCTTTTTGCTAGTAACTAGAATCAGTGTGTTAAAACATGTACATCATGTACTGCTAAAATAAATATTAGTACAAAATAAAAGGTCATTAGAGGCATCTTTATTGATAAGTGAATAGTTTTATTAAATTCCAACATTTAAAGCATTTTTTATACCACAATTTACATATTTTCAAATAGACTCTATATTGATTACATAATATAATAAATGTAAGCTTCACAAAGTGATGATACTATTCTGTTCTGGTAATATTCTGACAGGGATAAACTCCCCCCTCCCATGAACTGGCCTTTTATAGAAAGAAATATATATTAATTAAGTCAAGTTTTCCAGATTAAATACATTCCACACAAATGGAAAAATTAAAAAAATTACAAAATAAGCAGCACAGAATTTTTTTTTTTCTTCATCTGCAATACTGACCACAGGTCTAAATCATGCACATTCAAGTCAAATTGGAAAAAGTATAGAAAAAGCCTTGAAGAACAATGAGGGATTGCTGTCTTAGAGAGATTTTTAGAAAAGGTTAATTCCTTTTACTATCAAAGTGAAAGTTGGTCTGGGATACCTTCCATTCATACTTCCAAAAAAAAAGCAAAATAGGAAAAGGCTTTGAAGTGTTTTGGCACAAAAAGAAAACAATTTCAGTAAAAATCAAGCAAACAAGCTTTCAGAGGGAGGGAGTTAAAGAAAGAAACTGACGAGAACTAAACTACATTGGGCAAACTCAATAAATTTATGAAATGACAATACGACCACTCCCAAAAGGATGTGTATCTGTTCCTAAAAGGATACACAAAGATCATAAAAGAGGAGCACACAGAAAGTAATGAAGAAGTCATTTATGCACAGCTAGGACGGAAGGACTGCTTCAGCTGGGTTTTCACACATATTAGGACAGAGTGAGGACAGAAAAAAAAAAAGAGTAGGAGAAAAAAAATCAGAAGGATGCCACGCAGGCAGTGGGCAGTCTTAAGTACATGTGGAAATTTAAGGATACTTAAGTAGATATTATTGCACAAGCACAAAATTTTACAAAATTATAGGTGCTGGGAAACAGACATCATCTAGTCCAGCAAGTAAAGAGCCTGGCTGGTCAGGTGTTCAGTTGTCAGTCCTTTTTTAGTCTGAATTCTTTAGCTCCTTCACCAACCTTCCAGTGCACATGACACATTTACAGTATTACTCAATATTCCTGTGAGTCAAAATGCAAGGTGTTTGTACAGAGAAAGAGGGTACAGAGAAAGAGGATTCAGAAACAGGTTAGCAGTTAGAAGCTCTGCCTGGAGAGGGAAACTTCAAAAAATGTCTTCATTAATATTTTCAAATCTCTCAAATGTCCCAGAATTATGATAATGTGTTAAGCCCTTATAGGAAAGGCAGAAACTCTCCATCCCCTCATTATCCTGCAGAAGTTATTCTGCCACATGCCTATGAGACAACCAGGATGTTGACACATTTCCTATTAAAGAAAGTCACCCGCTGCAGAGTTTAGTCTTCTTAAAAGGGATACTATTTACTTGAAATATTAAAACCTTAAACAAAATTCAAGTATTAACCTATCTGCATTGTTCTCAAATAGTATTTCCTTACTCTAAGAGAAAAAATCACAGAAATTAAGCATAAACAAAAAATACAGACTGAGGAGAAAAGTGATCAAGTATTTCAGCCTTGAATTTTATGCTTTGCATCAGGAGGTACTACATGCTCAGAGAGAAACTGAAGTTATGTTAATTACGAGTTTTCTTTCTCATTTGTTTTTATTAGAGCTATTTTTAGTAAGTAATTACCATATGCACAGGGAAAATGCCTGCAGAAAAACAGCTACTTTCACCCTTTGATATCAGTCTCCCCAGCTTTTTAACTGGAAAAAAATTAATTTCAGGAACTGATGCCTGACACCTTACTGTACTGGTTAGCATCTCAGACTGAAAGCCCTAGTGCATGCTGCAGACAGATCAGGATAAACATATACTGCCTCAATACAAAACCCCAAACTATTCCCTCCCCACGGTGTCTAGAATTGACATGCTCAGTGGACACTCTGCAGTCCCTTCTGCAAAACACGCATGAGTGATTTCACTGCAGGAGATCAGAACTTGACCTGAGGTTTGGTAAGGCAGCTGCCTGGTGGATAATGAACAGTGGAACGTGAAGCAGCCGCACAACATAGGTATCCCTAAACATGCACAGGACACACATCATCTCCATGATGTCTGTTATCTTTAAATGCAGAACCTCAGTAATAATGAACCCAAAGAATTAATTTCTTTAGTATTTTAACATGCCCCCGATTTGCTTCATAGGCCCAGGATACAGTCAATGTTTTCTGCTCAAACTTCACATAATCTGCTGCAGTCCAGCCTAACACATCTTCTCTGGCTTCCCTGAAAAATGAATTTGCTTTCAGAGCAGAAGAGCCAATACACTGACCAAAAAGGATGGCAGAAGTCCGTCAAATGAAAAACTCCTCAAGAAGAACGTAGAATTATCTCTGTTATTTCAGCTCTGCTGCCCAGCCTCATGGGTATTCCAGCGTACATTGTCCCCGGGCTGACGTAGACAAAGGTGTTCTGCCCAACTTTGTACAAGCCAACAAAGAAGGGATTTAGCAAATAAGCCCCAGCATTTAGTGGGAACATCTGCCCTCCATGAGTATGGCCAGAGAGAATTAAATTTATGTCTGGTCTCTCCCGAAGGGCCCACTTCGCAGCTACCGGCTGATGAGCTAACAGCACTATGGCATGCTCACTGCTACAACCTCTGAGAGCTTTTTTTAAATCCATGCCGTGCCCTGAGTAGCGCAATACATCTGCTTCAATATCATCAACACCAGCCAAAAAACGCCGCTCTTCGGTGAAACAATCTTCACATTCTCATTATGGAGCGGCTGAATATTGAATGATTTTAACAGCTCAAACCAGTTGCTAACATCTGATGTGTAGTACTCATGGTTTCCTGTGACAAAGTAAGTCCCCAGAGGGGAGTTGAGTTCTCCAAGAGGCTCAACAGCAGGTCGTAGGATCTCTGCCTCCGAGTCAGTCAAGTCCCCAACAATCACAGTGATATCTGGCTTCAAAGCCTTGACCATTCTCACAATCATGGCAAGCTTGGTCTTCCCAACTGTAGGCCCCAGATGGATATCTGAAAGCAACACCACCTTCAGATTATTCATTGTTGAGGGCAGCTTGTGAACTGGAACCTCCACTGAATTGACCATGGGAGGCTGGGAAGCATTTAAAAGCCCAACAACAGTCAGCACAACAGTCAGCATGACCGCCAAAACTGGTTTCATTGCTGTTCGGCTGTTCTTGATGCCATTACCTGCCTTAGAGCCTCTCCCAGATAAGAACCTGTAAGCCTGCTCTACAGAGCCTAGAGCGAAGAGGAAGAAGATAAGAATGATATAGGACCCCAGGCAGGTGTAGGCAGCTAAAGAAAAGAAATAGGGCTCTTCTGCAACAAGAAATAGCATTGTAAAGAAGCTTGAGTGAGCCAAAGCTAGAAACAGGAACACAGCTATTTTCCATGGCATGAAACAGACAGAGCCAGCAGCTGAAGACCTGGAGAACGCGGTGACCGTGCTTCTCCAAACATGAAGAGATCCTATCAACATGAGCGCGTTAAAAAATAGTGCCATCTGCAGCCTCAGAAGCCAACGCCGCGTCCTGAGCTCGAGCTGTTCTACCAGGTAACTCCGTGATAGCATCATGGAGAAGAAAACCACTCCTGCAGCCACTGCAGCCTTGGCTTCGAGAGGCAGTTGCTTGAAGGAGATCATCTTTGCTTCCTGAGCGTTCCCTTCTGTTCTGCACAACTCTCCAGTAGGCAATAGTGTGGTTATGAAGGGATGACTTGGGTCAACAAAGCCTGCAATCAGGAATCAGTATCAGCCGTTTTAAAATAGTACACACACTCCCTTTTTCCCAGAATGCAATAAAGGACTGGTACTCTGTACATATGATCCAGGACTCTGAGTCATGCAGAATCACTGTCATAAAGGCAGGGAGAAGATTTCCTGATGTGGAACAATCAGATAACGGAAACACTGGACACTTCCAGTCCACTTCCAAGCTCCCTGCCTGCCTGGGGAACAGCAACCACGTGCAGCTGCAGTCCCAGAAACTGCAGGTGAAGTATCAGCAGAGATCCTTGCCTCCAGCTGTGACAAAGACTTCCCCAAAGCCCTGAACATGGTTAGGACCACTGAAACTGACAGGCTGTTTTGCTGCTCACATCCTCATAATTTTCACAACACATACACTTCCCAAGGCTCAGCACCTAGTTCAGCATATCCTGGTCTAACCAGATGCAATTAAAAGGGATTAGAACATCGCACACTGTGCTTCTTCAAAAGTAAAGGGAGCACTAAGGCTAATGCACCTCTGCTCCCAGACTGAAAAGAAATAAGCAAGCACCAGTTATGCTTGAATTGTACTGGAATCCCCTGGGTTGCTTTGTAGTTTGCTCAGAGTGTTTCCACCTGTGCCCAGTATTCAAAATAAACCTACTATTTTATTTTAACCATAGAAAAAAAAAAGTTTGGATTATCTTGCAGAACATACAATAGCGAACAAGTTGGAGATAACTTAATGAAACTAAGCACAGATCACTGCATGGCTTTCAAAACACTTCCCATCTCTCCATCCACAATTAGCTACAGAAGAGGTAAGCAATCACTACTATCTTAGAACCAGGGCACAAAAGCAGCCTTTGTAGGGCTCTGCCGTGAGCTGGGCCCCAGAAGTCAACAAACCAGAGTTCGCCAGGTTGCTTATCTCAGCATATACTTTCCCAAGCTAGTTTTAAAGAGTATTACCATCTCTGTGATGATAAAACCCTGCCATACTTTGAGGAGCAGATCAAGTTTTGAGAAGACCCCTTCCATCATTAATCAATGAAGAGGAGGGAACCTGCTCCATTTTAATTTGGTTCATTCTTTTCTGCAATATGTTAAATTCTCTCCACTTCTACAGCCTCCCATATCTGCAAATTCCTGAAATTTACTTTTACATTATTTTAGCTGTTGTAAACTAATCTACTAAACCCACCGAGTGCCTCTCTTCTAACACTACAGAGCTGGGCCAGGATGGGTTCTTTACACCTCTTACCCACTACCTGCAGAATTTTGTCACTCTCAGCCACAACCCCACCCCTCAGGGACCATTCTTACCATCACCCAACCTCCCCTTGGACAAGGGTCGCCCGCGAGGCTGTGCTCCTTCCACCGCCTCTGCACCCTTCCATTCAAAACCAATTTCTCCTACGAGAACACTGACCCTCTGCTGTGAACCCCAAGCACAAGCCCCGAAACACGGCTCCCACAGGAAGGCGCCCAGGCCCCTGCTCTGCCCGCGGGACGGTGGATCATCAGGCAAAGGAGGAAGAACAGAACCGATGAGCAGAGCAGGAAGATCCCCGCTCTCTGCCCCTCACACACACCAGGAGCAGCACGTTCTCCCGTGGGACGCTAATGGAGCGCAGGATCGGGCCACTGCC